TTGTTACTACTAGTAAGGCACTTGTTACTACTAGCGTGGCACTTGTTTCTAATAGCTTCTTGTTACTACTAGTAAGGCACTTGTTACTACTAGCGTGGCACTTGTTTCTAATAGCTTCTTGTTACTACTAGTAAGGCACCTGTTACTACTAGCGTGGCACTTGTTACTACACAGTGTGGCCAAAATGCATGGAACTTGAGTCTAGAGCTGTCTACAAGCCGCTTTATACAGTATCTTGTGAGCCCAAGTTGCTCGAGCCCGGAGGTCCAAAGCCATAACCAAAGCTCACGTAGTCTGCACCATGCAGCACCGGCAGGGCATGAAGCTTCAAATTGTCCACCTCAAAAGGCGACGTGTCTTCTGGAATCTCCTGGAACCAAAAGCTTGGATAAGTGAACGACACGTCAGTCAAAAAGCCATGGGGTAGCCCAAACAACTGAGAGAGAGAGAGAGACATGTTTGCAAACCGTTTTTGGATATATCAAACTTGATTGAACACATAAAGCACACGATGACGCAAGTTGACGGGACAGGCCGTCCTTCCAGTCGATCGCGGCGACGAAACGAGACTGCTTCTCTGGCAGGAAGTTGGCTTGGCGATCTTGGCATTCGACATCACAGTCATCGGTGCAATTGCACCAAGCACGAGAGAGAGCGATCAGCCCTTCTTTCTGGCCAAAATGCCCGAACAAGTATGGAAAGGCGCGTCCTAAGCTGGCTTAAGAAACAGTGGTACAAAGCAAAGGACAAAGCAATGGCGCCTCACAAACGCCCATCACTGACCCTCATCCGCCAAGGGGCGGCAGTGGCGCATGGTCCTCACATCACAGTAACATTGCATCGGAGGCCCTTGCACTTGTCTTCGCACGGGATCATAGCGCTGCAGTTGTCGCAATTCATCCAGACCTTCGGTGACTAAGAACATGAATGTCAAGGGTCACCAGAGGTATTACGCAACATGGCCACAAACATGGGCCTACACACGCTTGCCTAAGCATGTTAAATCACCACAAATATGTGTACCGAAAGGTTAGCAAACTCATAAGAGTAGTGTTTTTTTGATGCTTGCAGCTTATACACTGCACAGGATCCTGCACACAAGCCTGTGCGTAGCCTACGCCGTAGCCTACGCCATGCAGAAGGTTGCTTACGCTGGAGCTTTGTTCTAAGTGGAGCCTACGCCGGGATGCACAAGCAAATGGCAAACAGCAAAGGCTTGTTCTTGTTTCTACTCAGACGCAGAAGTGGTCTTCTCAAGAAGAACATGCACTCCAACTGATTAAGATGTCATGTATAGTGCCTCTGCCTAAAGTGCCTATACGAGCCTTCGCTAACCCACCAGTATATGGTAAACAGGCTACGCAGCATTTAAGGGTTTCCCTCTTCATCTTCTTTTCAAAGAAGTTACTCATAGCAGTCTAAGGCAAGCACCAAAAATTGCGTCTGCATGGTCATGAGTCAAAAGAACTGCATCCAAATAATGGATCTCGTGGTCCTTGTACCACGTCATCACAGACTCGCGGAAGGTCTTTCCACAGTCGATCTGAATGTGTCTCCAGCGCCCATCAGCATGTAACCATCTGATGAGCAATCCCACGTTATTTCGCCAGTTGGGATCGCGTCGGCCATTCCGGATTGCCACGCTACAAGACTTACATCCGGGAACTCCTCCCTCGCCACCAATCACGCACCTGATCATGGGTGCACCAGATGAAGTCCCTGTTCCAGTGAACATTATCCCACATTTCTTCTGTGGTGAACCTCTTTTCAGCCTTCGCCATACTAGGACAGCAAGCACAGCACAGCCGGCACAGCAAAGGCCAATCAACGAGATCATGGCAGCAAAAGCCGACTTTTACCCTACAACTACAACATTGTTACAACATTCAAAAACAAGACCAGAAAGTGTCAGAAGTCAAAATCTGAATACTAATCTGAAGATAATGGCCATTCAAAGGCCGTGAAACAACGAGCCCACGACTTGTGGAGGGATGCTACTTTGCCTTGATCCTTCAGGATGTTTTCTCCATTTCTGCAATGCGATTCCCACCGCACACTCCCACGCAAAGGACCACATCTTTTCCGACGAGTCATTTCAGCGAAGAGCAGGAGCCGTCTCTGACCTCTGAGAACAACTGTCACCAAGAACGAGGCAAAGTAAGACCCCAAGACCGACCCTATAATTACAAGCTTGTGAGCGCATAAGCTATAACCCCTTCCCCTTAGAATCCAGGGGATCAGAGTGGAATAGTAGCGTCCTTGCTCCTAGTAGCGATGCCCTTTGTTACTAGTAGCTTCTTGTTCCAAGTAGTAATGGCCTCCAACCTAATAGCAATGGCCTCCACCCTAGTAGCTTCTTTCGTAGTAATGCCAGGAGCTACGTTCGTAGCTTCCTTTCTCCCGTTGTCCTTTCCGTTCTGATGCGGTCTGTGCTGAGGGTGCCCACGGGTCCAGCTCTGCCCAGTCGGAGAAACTCGGAGGACGAGATGAGACTTCGACGCTTGGGTCGTTGGGGTCGTTGGAAGGTCGAGGATGAAGAGACTTAGCATGTGTGTCGCAATTCAAAGCGAAGAACCAATGCTGCAGGTTGCCAGATTCCGGTTACACAGGCTGGACCCTTCCTCAATTGGGTTGATGCAAATTGCAGTCAAGTTGAGATACAACAGCAGTGGGGCAGTTGGCAAGAAAGGTTCAAGGCTCCCACTCCATGTTTGCAAAGCTCTCCTCTGAGTCATCCTCCTCCAATTCCCAAGTTTGCCACACCTTGGGAAGGAGGAAGACAATGCGGATTCTGAACGGCCAAAAACACTGCCCATAGCCGGCCAAATACATGGAGTCGAGAAAGAACATCAAATTTGGGGTTGCCGAAGCATGTTGGCTTTGTACAAAAATGTATTGTGTTGGGTTGTGTCAGTGAACTCCTGCTAAAATCCGCTAAACATCTCTGTCTCGGCTCGATTTACAGACAGTTCTTCCAGGCACTTTGCATTGAATGTACGTAGATTACATTTGTATATGTGTGTCAGTTGATTTGACCCAAACAGAATGGTTGCGGGGCGAACCATGCTGCCTCACAATCTGTGCCACAATGCAAAAATGCATTGAAAGACCCCTGTTGATCCTTTCGAAAGATCCCAAAATTCCAAGCTTCACACACCCTCGGGAAGGGGCTCGGCAAATTGGCCATCATCTGCCTCAAACACTCCACCCTTGGAGTCTGAACTCTCATGGAGCTTGATGCAAACTTTCGGCCACTTCAAAATCTGCCTCCAAGTGCTGCTGCAAAAAGGAATTTTCCAGTGACCTCAGCTACTCAGTTGACGTGTCACCGCTTCGAATCGCTTCAGCCTCTTCCGTTCTGAGCTGGGCGGCTCCTCAAAGGCATTTGTGATTTGACGGATTTGCTCCGTGGTGAAGACATCGCTGCGCTGCTCCACCTAATTCACATTGCTCCCAAGCGAAAAGCGATGCAAAAATTGCGATGGAAAGGTCAAGTTCAAAGTGCCTCACAAGTTGGATAGGGCGCAATTTAGCACCTGATCTTCATGCCAAAGACTGGAGCACTCTTTTTTGAGAGAAGTGCTCTGAGGTGGCAAGGTTTGGGCATTGAATTGCAAAACGGACCTCGACTGCGTCTGCAGAGCTGCTTGCGCCTGTCCTTTGACGTCGGACACAAGCAGACCCACAGACCCGGACCGCAGATCGACCAGGCCGTCCGTGAGGAGCTGACGGCCCTTTAAAAAGATGTCCGAGCTGACGGCCCAGAGGTCGGCCGTAGGCGAATCCTACGATCCGTAAGCCAGCGGCTTGGCACCTGACTTGGGGTTCAGCAAGTTGAAGCACACAAACATTGGAGCTCCCTCAGCTGGTGGCATTGCACATTGATCCCAAAAGCACAGGCGTGTGCTCACTGCAGAGCACAGTTTGCCACCCTCCATCGGCATAGCCAACTTGGTTCCACCCTTGATGCAGAGCTCCTTGGTCTGCACAGCAAAGAACGGACGGCCATTGGCTTGAGGAGCAGAGAAGCCCAGACCCATGCAGAAGATGTAGTAGAGCCAGAAGGTGTCGCCAAAGTTCGTGCTCCAGTCGAAGAGTTGCTGTCCACTCCAACCATCATCACCCGCAAGCTTTTTGTTGAAGCAAACACAAATGGGTGAGCCAGGAGCTGGTGGAAGGGAGCACTGATCCGTGAGGCACAAGCAAACGCGGATGTTGGAGCAAAAGGGGTCACCAATGTCAGTCATCTCGCACTTGGAGTGTAAGCAAATATTCACTGCTTCTCCTCCAAAGAAAGGGTTGCCCACTGCACCGATGCCAACCCCTTCGCAGAAACAATAGTTCAACCACCAAAGCTCGTTGAACATCTTGTCACGGTCCAGGTTGGGGGAGATGTCTGACTTGGCGATGTCAGGCATGTTGTGCGACGAAGCTTTGCTACCAAAGCAAGGCTGGGTGTGCTGGGGCTGGAGCTTGAGCCGCTTCGGCCAAATTTGTCTTTGTGTTGCACGTAATTCTCAGAGAAGCTCCGATAGTGACTGCAACCGATGCCATACGCTACACACACCCAGCCTTGGAGATCAAGCTTTCAGCCGCCCATCTTTCATCCAACTACTTGGGATTGTACCTCAGATGGGTGAAGTTGCTTTACTCATGTCCGACACAATCGGCATTCACTAGACATGCTGAAGCTGTTCGGTGTCGTTCAAAAAATTCAATCAACTGAGAACTCCAGACTGGGAGAGCATCGAAGCAGAAAGCTTTGCAAAGGATGCCACCTGAGCCGAGTCATTTCGTACAGTTGCAACACCTTCGAGGACGTCCTCACCTGTGGAGAGCTGTCTGACGGCATCAGCCCAGACCTCAGCTGTCAGGCAGACTGTGATACAAAGTCATAAGGCCTCCTTACTCATATTCAAAGATATTCAAAGCAAGAAAAGGATGTTGGTTGAATTGATCATTGACCTCTTGTTGTCGGAAAGTTGAAACATCAGCTCTAGGGGTGCACTTGGGCTTACAGGCTGACAGCCTGAGCAGAGCATCACATCCAGCAAACACGCTCAGCTCAAAACGCTATGTACCTGGTGCGGCAACTCCATGCTGGTTCAGAACGCTGAATCCAAGAGAACCCACAAGAACACCAGGAAAAAGGAGTTTCCAAAGACCCTGGTTGACTTAGGAACAAAATAAGACAATAAGCTACTAGGAACAAGTGCATCGCTACTAGTAACAAGTGCCTTACTAGTAGTAACAAGAAGCTATTAGTAACAAGTGCATCGCTTCTAGTAACAAGTGCCTTACTAGTAGTAACAAGAAGCTAGTAGGAACAATATTGTCAAACAATTGACTTGCTCGAACTATTGAGCCTTGCATCCTTGAAGAGCTGCAGGTAGTTGGCGCCAAATTCGGAGCTGCTATCCTCGAACGTCTCATGGGTTGAAGCAACCCACAGGCTTTCAGGCTTCACACTAAGCAAATAGCGATGGCCTCCACCCTAAGAGCGATGGCCTCCAGTCTAAGAGCGATGGCCTCCACCCTAAGAGCGATGGCCTCCACCCTGAGAGCGATGGCCTCCAGTCTAA